TGGAACCCCACATTTGAGACTCCACGGGGCCGAAATACTCTCCCCAAGCTGCACTCTCTGGGGGTGGTCCTCCAAGAAGGAACGGAACCAGGCGAGAGCCAAGCCACCGATACCCAACTCAGAGAGCCTCCCCAGGAGGATACCGTGGTCAATGGTATCGAAGGCTGCCAAGATGTCGAGGAGGACCAACAAAGATATTTTACCCCTGTCGGCCTCCCTCAACAAGTCATCGTACAGGGCGACCAATGCCGTCTCTGTACCGTAGCATGGCCTGAAGCCCGACTGAAATGGATCCAGGGCATCTGTTTCATCCAGATGTGCCTGAACCTGGTCAGCCACCACCCTCTCGACCACTTTGCTCATGAAAGAAACATTGGTGACGGGCCTATAATTGCCAGTTTCGTCCGCCGCCAAATTAGATTTCTTTCTTATGGGCCTAATAAGTCTTTCCTTGAGGGCAGAGGGAAACCTGCCCTCAAGGAAAGAACCATTTATTATTGCAGTGGCCCATTCTGTTGTTATCGGCCTGGCTGCTTTGATTAGCCANGGCTCGACAGCAGTCAAGCACTCTGGCCACAGAATCAGGCGTGACAGGCTGAAAGGAGTCAAGGGTTACCGGGCAAGATGGAGCGCTGGACATCTCTGCTCGACTCACTGTATTCAAAAAAGGAGAAAGGTCCCGTCGGATGGCCTCCACTTTAGATTTAAAAAAGGCTGCAAACTGGTCAGTTGAAAAACTAGGGGATGTAATTTCTAATGAACTGAAACTTCGTAATGAAGAAACCTGGCTACCCATGTGATCAAGGAAACACTTGGTGAACTGAAGGGTCGCTCTCATCACAATATATTTGTAAGAAAGAAAACAGTTACACTGGGATCATCAAACAATTAAGTTCTTACATTCTATTCCCAGTAATGTTATGGATACATCTGAAGTGCAGTGCAGAAATGGGAAAACCCTTTGAAACAAGGCCATCAGAAATAGCTCTTTATAGCAAGTTTTACCAAGAAGATAGTGATATGTAGTCATGTTATGCTTGGCAAGAAGGATCTCTTACAGGCATTTGTTTATTTGTTTGTTTATTTATTTATTTATTTATTTGATTTGATTTGATTTGATTTTGATTTGATTTGATTTGATTTGATTTGATTTATATCCCGCCCATCTGGTAAATTTATAGATTTCTTACAGGCATCTTTTGTTTCTTGCCTTGCTTCTTAATGCCTTCAGTATTCTAAATATCTCATATCTTGATACTAATGTGTGCTGTCTGTTTTCTCTTCTTCAAAAGCCCTTTTTTCCCTATATATATTAAAAATTTAACTTTCCCTTGTTTGATAGAATATGAATTTGCTTTCGGATGCCCGTTCTGCCAGAGTGTACCGAGATGAATTAGATGCTCTTAGAGAGAAAGCAATCCGGGTTGACAAGCTTGAAAGTGAAGTCACTAGATATAAAGAGAGGCTACATGATATCGAATTCTACAAAGCCAGAGTAGAGGTAACTTAAAATGTCTTTCTTCTTGTTAAAACCTTTATTGACTTCATATATGTCAGTTTCTCAGGTGAGTCCAGGTTTGCCTTGGCTCAGACAGAATTGTATTCTGATTTATTGGGTTTATCTCTTACATCAAATTAATAGATATAAAAGAAGGAATACATGATGATTTTAGAAACATTTAATGTTTTATGTTTTGTTGACCGTCTGTTTCATGTTTATGTCTGATTCTGGTAGGAGCTAAAAGAAGATAATCAGGTATTGTTGGAAACAAAGACAATGCTGGAAGATCAGTTGGAAGGAACCCGGGCCCGTTCTGATAAATTGCACGAGTTAGAAAAAGAGAACCTACAATTAAAGGCTAAACTACATGATATGGAGATGGTGAGCATACAGGATGAAACCTCAGATGTGTAGGTTTTGAAAACTAAGTCCAGATGAATCTGTTGAGTCTGGCGGCTGCTGATTTTATTTGTGTGCCCTTCCTGTTTAACTGGAAAACTTTCACTGTCATTCACTGTTTTCAATATTTTAATAGAAGAGTGACATATGGTATACATGTGAAAATAGGCAGTACTTTTATGGACCGCTAGAAAATCATCACACAGTAAACTGAGCTTTTGTGAATTAAATACCATTTCATCAAGATTGTACCAATGTGAAGAACTTAAAGTCTAAAACTTAAAGCTCAAAAGTACATGGCAAGATTGTTTTTTGCCAGGAAAGTTGTTCTTAGATGTTAAGTCCAGCAATTCTTGGCAATTTGCCAGGTTTTCTCCCTTAGATGGAGGTAAGGAATCTGAATGCTGTTTTATGGTTGCAATTTAGACAGCCAGTTCTACAAACAAAGAAGCACATTTGGCAGGGTGGTAGTGACACAGAAAACCTGAGTCCTCCAACTGAGAACTGGGGTGATAATTTAGTAAACGCACTAGGTTTAACCAATTAATACACAGTATTTCTGCCTTTATGTCAGAATCATTTCAAGATCTTGAAAAACTGAAAGTAAACCTTTGAGTACTAGCTTCCCCCAGGAGAATTGGCTTGTACTGCTGATCGGGCCTGGATGAAGTGGAGTTTCACAGGTGGAATTTGGAGATAAAAGTTTTCTCCCTAGTCCACCTGGCAACTTAAAACCATTCTTTGGCTGAGCTGCTGGCAGTTCCAGAAGATCTCCCTCATCATCTCCCATTCTTGCCATGATTTTGGTCAAGGTGTTACTAGTTAATAAGTCCATGGTTGATATATTATGTTCCAGGTTTGATACCTTTTTGCTGTTCCTTATTGTTCTTATTTTCTGATGGGGAATTGGGCCAGATCCACCTGGGGTGGTTGTGTTCAGAGGGGGCATTGTGATTGGCTTCTTCAGAAAGTGGTAACAGTTCCTTCATTTTGGCGGGAATGAGAGTCAGAGGCGATTTTAACTGTTCAACAAACTTAGCTTTATTCTCTTCTGTTTCTTGATTAACATTGCTAAATGGATCAAAACTGCTTAACCCAGGAATCAGTCCATAACTCAGTATCCTCAGTTCCGACGCAAACACTCCTCCTCTCACATCCGGGCTGGACCAAAGCACTCTTGGTCTGTCATCTGCCACATCGGGGTACTCGTCACCATTCCACAACATGGATGCCTCGCCCAATCCCCCTCTGGGAGTGGGGTATTGCATGTAGGACCGGGACGGATCAATTTCCTCCCTCCACCTTGGTTTTGGGGGTAAACCACAACTGTCCATTCCAGGGGCTTATTGACCCACTCTCCTGGGAGGGGTCAGGAAGCAATCCTTCACCCGTCTTGAGGTTTGGGAAATCCCTCAGCAAGTCACAGACCTTATTAGCTTGTTCTTCTAGCTTGTCTGTCTGTACCACACTGTCTCTCCTGCTCCCTTCTTTCTTGCCCACTTCAATTCTCAATTCCCGCTTTTCTCCCCCTTCTTTTATAACCTCCTCCCACAATATCAAATCTTGCTCCTCTTTTTCTCCCTCCTTCTCTTCCGCCAAGCATATCTCTATGGCTCTCTTCCCTTTGAATCCATCCTCCTCTATTTTTATGGTTCCCCTCTCTACACACTTAGATGCCTCCTCCTTTCTGTCATCTGATGAGGACGGCACACTAGCCATCTGTCCTTCACAGACATATATGCCCATTATCCCAGTTTTAGAGATCCTTAAGGTATTTTGGGATGAAGCATTCAGGGACATGTCCATTTCGGAGGCTTTTTATCGTGCTTCACTCTCAGAGGGCAGAGGAACCACACTGTGACATGTTCTGTTATTCCATGATTATGTCATGATTATCAGTCTGAGTTCTGGGAATGGTGGCTGCTTGGTTAGTAGGATGGTTATCTGATATCTAATTCATTGTCCTGTGCTGTGCCAAGGAACTGCAGGTGTAACCAGTAAAGCTGAGACCATTTTGATGTCAACTCAAAAGCAAGATTGAAAGTTGTCAATTGTGCAATTTCAAGGATACCTCAATGCTATAATTCTTTTCATCTCATAATCAAATTGTCTAGATATGTTTAAATAGGTTGTTTTTGCACTGTTAACATTCATTCTAATTCCTGTAACAATTAAAAGATTTTCATGTAAATAATATTTAAGGAACGTGATATGGATCGGAAGAAGATTGAAGAACTTATGGAGGAAAATATGACACTAGAAATGGCTCAGAAGCAGAGTATGGATGAATCATTGCATCTAGGTTGGGAACTTGAACAGATAAATAGATCATCTGAGCTTTCTGAAGGTAAATAAAACTACTTTTTTCATGAAGCGGAGAAATGGACAACTAAATCTTTCAATTATTTCACAAACTGGTTGAGATTTTTTAGCCAGTTGAAGGTAGTAAAAGGGGAACATAGATAGTTGTAGTGAGTTAACATCTATTTGAGCTCACTGATGGGATATAGCTACTGCTTATTCATATTAGCATATTTTTAGCTCTGGAGCTGTAGCCAGACTCAAGTCAGAAGTGGGTTTAGATGTGGCTGTGGTGTAAGCACAGTTTGCTATAGCTGTCGAAAACTGGGAAACCATTCATTGCAGATTTTGGTGTTAATAGTATTTTATTTCTGAAAGTTAAAATAAAGACAATTGAGGTCCTCCTGCTCACCTTTTTTGTGTTAATATTTGTTCTTTATCAGTGAGAGAATAATGGGAGGTCGCAGAGATAGTGTGAATTCCAAATGAGAAATACCTAACAGGTAATAGATGGAAACTGTTTGTTTTCTTTTGTTTTCAATCTGATAGCACCACGAAAGTCACTTGGGCATGAAGTAAATGAGCTAACATCTAGTAGGTTACTGAAATTAGAAATGGAAAACCAAAGTTTGTTGAAGACTGTGGAAGAACTACAAAATGCAGTAGGTTCTGTAGAAGGCAGTAATTCAAAAATACTGAAAATGGAAAAGGAAAACCAAAGACTAAGCAAAAAGGTACCAGTTATTATATATGTTGTCATGAATTGCTTTGTCACCACAGGGAGGATCCACTTACCACTCAGTCACACTACCCTTATATTACCTGGTATGGCAGGCAGGTCAGTGACTGGGAAAGCTTCTTGTGAGTCCCTTCGCTTAACACCCTCTGAGTCACGTGTTCTGTGGTGCTTCAGGGAGAACAAAACAAGCAGGTTGTTACTCCTGGTTCAAACCAACCAAGGAAAGTAGAAACTTGAAAACCTACAAGAATACTCCAAAAACCTCTGAGTGCATAAGACACTAGACTTAGTATCTTCCGTTCCTCTAGCTGTCTAAATGACAACACAGCTGTAAATTGTTATTATTTTATTGAAGAAATTTTACCAAAACATATAGGTTCAGCAAAAGGCTTAATGACTCTAGTAAAATCATTATAACGAGAAGCAGATCCATGCTACAGAAAATAAAAGCTATTTCAGAGTTTCAAGCAATTAGGATTGTCACAGAAAAAAATCTGTCTGATTCTAGGCTATACTTACACATAGCATAACAGAGTTCAGCTTGATAGTAGTTAAATATTGGAGCAAGCATGAAGTTTATTGCTACATACAAGCTGCTGCCCAACCAAACCATTTTTCTTTCTAACCTTATATTCCATTATCTCCCCATGAGCTGGCTGCAGCTTCAGATGAAGCCAATTAATAGGTCTCTGCTACAAGAGCACTCCCAGGATCTCCACAGGTATAAACTGTCGAAACATGAAAAATTAGACTCAGGTTTCTTTTCAGAAGATACTCCAAAGTCATAGATAAGGCTAGATGTCTTTGCCCAGTTACCCAAACATGCTTTCTTAGTTAGCTCAGCTCAAGCAGTTTAAGATTTTAAAAGAAAAGAGGAAAAGAGGATGATTAACCCCTTTTCTACTGGTTTCATCATAAATGTTTGAGTAAAATTAGAAAGCTCTTAAGTCCTAGAATATTATTCATACTTCTATGAATGTATTCAAATGTTATGTCATTAACAGTGTCAATATTAAAGTCTCTGTAAGCATTCTGTCTTGAACTTCGTTGTGCCTTCCTGTCCTGTTATCACATTGCAGAGAATATTTTTTTATGTTTTACTACTTTATGCATGGGTTGTTGTTTCTTAGCCAAAGGGATTTGTTTGTCAAGCAGCTTCTGGGATAAAGCAGATGTAACTGTCTTATCTCTTCAATACAGCCTTAGCCTTCCAGATGTGTTAGATTATCTCTAGCCAGCATTGTCCTAAAGGAGTTGTGACATCTAGGCAGGACACCTGCTTGGGGAGTTATTGTTTTGTTCATTTTATGAAACTCTTCATGAAAGGTTTGATACATTTATTGGGACATCTTCCCTGTTTGATGCAAAGGGTGGGGGAATGAAATATAAGCTGGTCTCTGCTATCTCATCATAAGAATGAAGAAAGATATGCTGTAATTGAAAAATAATAATTGTAAATCAGTTCCAAAAAGGGGCAGTGTAGATAATCCCTCAGTGTAATTTTTGGAAGTTTCAACAAACAAATTCAAATGATTTCAAGGACTCCAGTATCAGTTTTTCTACAGCAAACTATTTTCATTACTACTCTTGTAAGTTTGTAGAAATAAAAGAGTTGTGATAGCTTTTAAAAATAGGCATCGTTGCCACTTCAGTGTGCAGTCTTGTAATTTATTTTGTTTATGTGAAAGTTTTATTTCTGTTAAGGGTTTTGTAAAGTAATATTAAACTTCTGTGTTCAGAAGTTAATATACACTCACACATAAGATTTAATCTCTTTTTAATTTTGTGTTACTGTCCAGCTGGAAGGGCTTGAAAATGAACTAGCCGAAGAAAAGCAGAGTCTCCAAAATAGTCAGAATCTTAGCAGAGATCTAATGAAAGAGAAAGCACAGCTTGAGAAAACAGTTGAGACTCTCAGAGAAAACTCTGAGAGACAGGTAATATAAAAACATTTGTTTCAATGAGGTTTGGGAAATTTCAGACTCTGTTGTGGGACTTCAACTTCCCTCAGCCTAGCCATCCTGTGAAGGCTGATGGGTGTCATAGTTTAACAATATTTGTAGAACAATAGGTTTTTGCCATTCGTTTGAATGGTCAGAATATTTTACATTTTAAATATAGTGGACTATACTGGTTACTGGTTGTGTCCCTCCACTGCTTCAGTAGAGATTTCTCTGAGTAGAATCTGTGATAATTCATATGTTTTCCTTTATAGTGAAGCACCTTTCTGCTACCTCCTGTGCTCTTCCAAATGGTTTCTCAGTCTTAGAAACAAGTGGCTTGGGGGATACAGGAAAGGAGGAGGGATGGATGGGCATTTATCCCATAGTTTAGTCTGGGTTGGGAATGGGCTACTTTGCTTATCATCATGGTGACTACATGACATGTGGCATTGAGAATCAATCCACTCCAATCGATGCCTATTTACACCTTGTTGGGTCCCTGTTGGGGCTTGGATTGCTCAATTTTGGCTCAAAAGCATCATCACTGGACCACAATAAATGGCTTAAACTGTTTAACAATCTTGAAACTGGAAAGCTTCCTTCCTGCCCCACTGCACAGGGAGAAGGGAGAGGAAGTTTCCCCCCTTTTTTTACATTGTTGCTAACACATCAGCACTGCTTTGAATTTTATTTTAAAAAGCCCTTTCAATGTATCACTTATGTGCTGTGTCAGTTACTGTAGCAACATTTCAAAAGAAATGGGAAGTTTCATCTCCCTTCTCCTCCATGAGAGAGTGGGAAGGAAATAGTCGGTTTATCAAGATCATTAAGCAATTTAGGCAAGCATGGAGGAGAAGACAGGGAAGAATTTTTATTTTTATTTTGCTTTTTGTTTTTCTTTAAATGAAAATAAGACTGGTCTAGATCTTGCTAAGCAGGTTACTGATATTGCAGTGTGAATGCAAAGATAATCCTAAATGAGTTACCACACATCGAAACAGCTCTGTTTAGCAGGATCTAAATTGGTCCAGGCTGGGATAATTGGACCATCGTGAAGTCAATAGAAAATATAACTGTACCTTCATTCATAGAAGTCTTTGCTGAATCCAGAAGACTTCTGCCTGTGCTCTGGCAGAATTGAATATATACTGCTCCAATTCATTGGGAACTACTCCTGATTTTGCATCCAAGGGGTTCACTTGTCAAAAGTTAGGTCTCCAATATGGGCACTGTTGTCAAAGGAAATTCTACCTGGTGATAAAAATCACTTCCTTGATTAAATGGGAATCCATTGGGCTCCTTCCGATAAGTTGGGCTGGAATTTAGATTCAGTAGGAATGGCATGAATCAGATCCTTGCTTAATGTACAGTTATGGTTTGATTTAACATTGAAATTATATTGCATAGGTTTTAATATTGGAAAGACTTTTGGTAAGCTGGTATCTTCATAGAAAATATTTTGATCCTCGTTCTTATTTAAATGTCCATTTCTCATTTTAATTAATTAGATTAAAATACTGGAACAGGAGAATGAGCATTTGAATCAAACAGTAGCTTCCCTTAGACAGCGATCTCAAATCAGTGCTGAAGCAAGAGTAAAAGATATCGAAAAGGAAAATAAAATTCTCCATGAATCTATCAAAGAGACAAGCAGTAAATTGAATAAGATAGAATTTGAAAAGAAGCAAATGAAGAAAGAGTTAGAGCATCATAAAGAGAAGGGAGAAAGAGCAGATGAGCTGGAGAAAGAAGTTCATCACCTTGAAAAGGAAAATGAACTATTACAGAAAAAAATTACCAATTTAAGGATTACATGTGAAAAAATAGATGCTTTAGAACAAGAGAACTCTGGTCTAGATGCTGAAAACAGAAAGCTGAAAAAGACTTTAGACAGCTTGAAAAATCTCAGCTTTCAATTAGAGTCCTTAGAGAAGGAGAATGCTCAGCTTGATGAAGAGAATTTAGAGCTCCGAAGAACAGTTGAATCTTTGAAGAGTGCAAATATGAAGATGGCTCAGTTAGAGCTAGAGAACAGGGAACTTGAAAATGAGAAGGGACAGCTTCAGAAGAGCCTAGAGCTTATGAAAACATCCTGTAAGAAGACCGAACGGTTAGAAGTCAGCTATCAGGGTTTGGATACAGAAAACCAAAGGCTACAGAAAGCCTTGGAAAACAGTAACAAAAAGATCCAGCATTTGGAAAGTGAACTGCAAGATCTAGAGACAGAAAACCAGGCCCTACAAAAGAATCTGGAAGAACTCAAAATCTCTAGTAAACGCTTAGAGAAATTAGAAAAAGAAAATAAACTTTTGGAGCAAGAGACCTCTCAACTGGAAAAAGATAAAAAACACCTAGAAAAGGAGAACAAGAGACTTCGACAACAAGCAGATATTAAAGACAATACATTAGAAGAAAACAATGTAAAAATTGCTCACCTAGAAAAGGAGAACAAATCTCTCATTAAGGAAATTGCCATATGTAAAGAAGCTTCTGTTCGACTAAAAGAAATCGAAAAGGAAAATAAAGAGCTTGTAAAAAGAGCCACCATTGACAAGAAAACACTTGTTACACTGCGGGAGGTAATGTTTTCTACTTCAGGATATACTAATGTTTTGAAGGGTGGTGAAGTAGTAAATTCATGTAGTATTTATTCAAGAGGTAGCAGTGCAGCAAAGGCAGATATTTTTTTTGATATATAAGTTTTTGTGGACTGTGAATCCATTCTGAGGTGCATCTGAAGAAGTAGCTGTAGTCTCTGAAAGCTTATGTTTAATAAAACCTGTTTGCCTAAAGGGTGCTGGAGGACTCTTGCTGGCTTTCTAATAATATAGTTGATTATAAATTGTGTTTTTAGTTTCCTTGTGCCATTTTCTAGTATTAAGATTTGGGGTTGCTCCAGATTTATAAAGAAGTAATGACAATTTGCTGCAGGGTCAGAAGACCAACAGTCGTAAGATCAAATCCACACGACGGAGTGAGCTCCCGTTGCTTGTCCCAGCTCCTGCCAACCTAGCAGTTTGAAAGCATGTAAAAATGCGAGTACATAAATAGGTACCGCCTCAGTGGGAAGGTAACGGCGTTCCATGTCTAGTCACGCTGGCCACGTGACCACGGACAAACGCTGGCTCTATGGCTTGGAGACGGGGATGAGCACCGTGCCCTAGAGTCAGGCATGACTGGACTAAATGTCAAAGGAACCTTTACCTTTAATGACAATTTATTTATTTTATTAGATTCCTACCCCGCCCATCTAGACCAAAGGTCTACTCTGGGTGGCAATCAGTTCAGTTTGCATCAGTTTTTGTGCTTCTCATGTCATGGGCAACGCAAACATTTTTATTCTTTCCTGCATTCAGATCGGAATTCCATGAGTTCACTCATCATTCTGTATGCAGTATGTGCTTCCATTTGTTTACTTTGCCATGAGGTCTTTGATATGTTGCAGCATTGCTTCGAAATAGAATTTTTAAAGGTTTTGCATTGCTCATAGTAGACGACTCCTGTGTTGTCCAACAATCGGTTTGCCCTGTGTCTCCATCTCTTAATGTTTATTTGTACGTAGCTCTCTCTAATGATAATTAGTTGGTTTCTGCTTACAACTCCCTTCCCCCAGCCATCATTTCCTGTGCAGCAAACTGGAAATGATTAGTGATTAATTGCCCCTTAATTAGCTTCCGTTTGCTCAGAAGAAAGCAAGGCCCAAAATTTCCTACTTTCCTACTCATTTAAGTCTCTTTACCGCATTGTTCCTGATTCCAAACAAATTGGGATATTTTGAGCAGATATGAAATAGACAGGGTTTGGCTCCTGCAGTAGGCAGAGTCACTAGTGGTTATAATGAGATGGGCACGAACTGGAAAGCTAACCACAACCCCCCCCCAAAACAGTTTGCAGTTTGTTTTTACAGTTCATGCCTGGGAGAGGGGAACCTGCCTTCTCCTACCTTTGCCTTCTCCTCCTCTGTTGCTTGCCTGCTCCTTTCCCACGGGCCCCATCACACTCCCTACCTGGTCCTGACACGCTGATGCAAACCTGAGAGAAAGTGGGCCCATCTTGCCTTCCAGGAGCTGGGCCTGCTACTTCTGAACATGTGCCCACCTATTATCTGGGTGGCAGGCCTGGCTTCCAGGCATGGTGGCAGCACAGCAGTAGTGCACTCCTGAGAGACAGTGGGCCTGGCTTCCCTTCTGGGAAGGGAAGCTGGGCCTGCTGTCTTCGAGTATGGCAGTGGCGCTGGAAGAGGAGGAGGCAGCAGGACTAGTTACAGAGGCAATGAGCCTCATGGCCCAGTGGTTAAACTGCTGCACTGCACCCAAAACTGTGCTCACGACCTGGGGTTCAACCCCAGGTAGCAGCTCAAGGTTGACTCAGCCTTCTATCCTTCTGAGGTCAGAAAAATGAGTACCCAGCTCACTGTGTGTGTGTGTGTGGGGGGGAAATGTGTAGCCTGCATAATTAACTTGTAAACTGCCCAGAGAGTGCTTGAAGTGCTGTGGGGTGGTATATAAGCAGCACGTTTTACTTTAAAAAAAGAGGGTTGTGAGAAGGGGTGAGTAGGCATCCTCTTTTGCAGAAGAAAATGAAGCACAGAGGGCAATAAACGCTTGGTGATCCTTTTTGCTTTGGCAAAACAGGATCCCCAAACGAGTTTACGAACCAAACCATGAACCAACCCAATTTGGCTTTTTTTTTCTAAGTTGCAGTTCAGTTTGTACTGTACTCATCTCTAGTTATAACCTAGATAAAAAAATGTTCAGCAGAAATAATGGAGACATATAACATGAATTCAAATAAATTTTACTAAATAGCTTTTTTACACAACAAACTGCTAATGCTGTAAGAGTGATAAATAAAGACAGCATTTTTGTCCCCTTGAGAAAGCTGAAGGTGTTTCAGAAAAGGAGTCATTATATTTTTAATTTACCACACCTCTCACTTGTTCAAAAACCTACAAAGTCTATGTGATAGCAGGTGTCTGGAATAAAAGAAACACGTCTAAACCCCATAGAAGGAGACTTGTCAAAGCCACCTTTCTACATTTTAAACAAACATGTCTTCTCTGCAGTAATCTTTAGAAATGCATTATTTTCATCCAGTTCATATGTGCTATGCATTTTATTCATTTATTTATTTAGGATTTGGTGAATGAGAAGCTGAAGACACAGCAGATGAATAATGATTTAGAAAAGCTTACACATGAACTTGAAAAGATAGGTTTAAATAAGGAGCGTCTTTTGCATGATGAGCAGAGTACTGATGACAGGTATGAGTGTGGAAAGTATCTTTGGGATGGTTTGTGAGTCATTCCGTTTCTTTTTTCTGTACCAGCTGATCATCACAGGACGTATCGTTGAATGAATCTTGAATTCCTAATGCAATGTACTCTTCTTCCAGGCCCCACTTTTTGCTGCAGTGTTGTTTTTATAGCAATAAAGTTATTAAAGGGCATATCTGCTTACTTAAAAGATATAAATTATTTGCAATAGCAAATAAATCTGATGAACATTATGGAAGTGATTCTAGGAGTCAAGATAATGTTGTAACCAGCTTCCAAAATAATATTGTATCCCAGTGTATTATTTTAAAAGTATTAACATGGCAGCATTAAACTGTGTTGCCAGATGAACAAGTACAATAATGCAAAAATGTTCAGCTATTTAAAAAAGGCCCAGTAGTTGAGGACCAAGTCCAGACTTAGAGGAGTACTTACCTTTTGTCTGGACAAATGTAATGCTGTACAAGACTTGGGACAGAACATCAGAAATGCCAGCATATTGGATGAACTGTGCTTCTTTTGACACATAACAGATTGGTTTAAAAAAAAACACGGGTTCTTCCAAACCTGCTAAGCAGAAATGAAATTTATAAATTACAAATTTATTTTTATTTGTTTATTACTTTGTTGTCATTATTCCCAAAAATGAAAATACTAATGTAATTGTATCACTAAACAGCAAATACAAACTTTTGGAATCACGGCTAGAATCCACCTTGAAAAAGTCCCTTGAAATTAAAGAAGAAAAAATTGCTGCTTTGGAAGCTCGGTTAGAAGAATCAACAAACCTAAATCAACAGTTGCGCCAGGAACTTAAAACAGTAAGGAATATAATATTGTCCTTTTTATCTGGAGACATAAAATCCTCAGCTTGATTTTTCAAGTAATAGATAATGGAAATAAAATGCTTTCTTTCTTTCTTTCTTTCTTTCTTTCTTTCTTTCTTTGTTTGTTTGTTTGTTTGTTTGTTTGTTTGTTTGTTTATTTATTTATCCCGCCCATCTGGTCTGGGCGGCCAGAGTGGTCGACTCTGGCCTTTATTTTTTTGATAAAGGTTTTTTTTAAAATTAACATATGAAATACCCATTTCTTATATTAGAAAATGTTTTTAATAGATCTGTGGCTTAAAACTAATTGTTAGACTTGACTAGAGTATACCCATTGAATTTTATAAGTATCATTCTGTTCTCCTTGAGACTAGCATTTTGGTTTAAGTTTTTTGCATCATTGGCTTGGAAGAACAAAATGCATATCAATTATGCTTGTTGAACATAAGAACTTACATTCTTTATTTATTTATTTAAAATATTTTTACTCTGCCTTTCTCCTAAGAAAGGATCTAAAGTGGATTGCAGGTGAGCTTCCCTTGGAAGTCTGAAGTGAGAGTGAATCAGGGCCTTGAGGCTGTGTGCCAGTTGGATTCATTCCTTGGAATGGGGAAGTTAAGCTGGCTGCAGCCTCACCTTTGCCTTGAAGAACGTTGCTCCAAGTGCTACTCATATCTCAAGCTTACTGTTCAACCTGTTCATCACAGGTGAAGCTATAATATAGTTCAGCCAACCACTGGGAGAACTGTTCCTCCATTCCGGATTGTCTGCTGCATATTAACACAGTCAGGATGACAAGCAGCAGCCAAAGCCAGTTCAGCTGGTGTTGAAGGAGTCACTTCTAATGTAATCTGAATCCCTTTTTTCATGTAGAATGTTCTGTTCTTCTGCACTCTGCAAAGTGGATGGAGAGGAGTAACTTAACTATGCATTTAGCAGTGTATTTTCAGATGACTATATATAATTATTATTGTTTTTAAAATAAATCATTGCCATATTCTTTATAGAGTAATGCACTGCTTTCCTGGTTTAGTTAATAAAACATTTTGTTGATGCAAGTTGTTAGACCCCCTAGCCTCCCTCAGCTGGTTGCCACTTTTCACCAGTACACAGGGATTCTTATTGTTGGATCTGACCTTGTTACTACCCAATTGGATACCCAAGGTGCTCCTTCACAAGCTGTCTCCACTTATTGGTGGCACTTGAGCCCTTTCTTTAACCTCCACTTCACTCCACTCTGGGAGGTCTTTTCTTAAACCTTTTCTTAGAATGCAGAATCTTTGGAAACAATATGACCACTGGATTCTAAACCAAAACACTTTTAAAAGATACATTTTTCTTCTGTTCTTTTTTCCCTCTTGTTTGAACTGTGTTCAGTCAGCCAATATGGGTGTTTACGTGATAACTGCTACCAAAAAAATAAAAAGATGCTTAATGAAAAAATGTTTTTACAGTATTTATATAAAGGACTGAAACACAAAGGGCAGCATGCAGACGTACAGTAGTTAAGTCCTCAACTAAATCTAGGCTTTCTTTAGGTAGAAGAGGAATATCAGGGATAACTTGAGTGCAAGGAAGCATAGTGACGAATGGTCAAAATATACCTATGCTTCAGGATACAACACCATATTAGGTCATCTTCTTCCTCTAGTTGCCATGCACATGCTTTGCATACACTGTATTTTGAGACAGAATTTTTAACTTGAAAGCAACAAGGCCAAAGTACTTCTTTAAACAGTATGTGCCATTAATTGACACCAAACGATGGTGGTAGCTTCTTATTATTTTCAGTGGTTTGAGTAGTGATTCCTAGATGGGACAAAAAAAAGATTATTTTAAAATTTACACTAAGAAACTACCAGACTATAAGATCATTTACTATGCTGTGTAGTTGTTCAGTGCTGGAGAACACAATCCTATACAGTACATGTTTATTCAGAAGTAATACTCACTGGCCAGAATCCAGTTGAGAAAAAAACTATACAATTTGTCCTTCATGCATATTGATTGATGTTGCACCCGGTACACAACTGGCTACATGAAGGAGAACCTGCTAGAATTAAGGAAATGATTACTTAGTGCCCTTATGTAATTAGGTAAGCAAATTGGATTATCCACAGTAAATTCAGTGGCACTTGATCTCAGGTGAGTACAGGAGTGCAGGTTGGAGCACATAGAGATTGATTAAAAGTGCAATCTTATGTATGTTTCTTTAGATGCAAGCCTCACTTGTGTTCAGTGGAACTTAATCCTTAATGTGTTTTTCTTTAGCATTGCAGTGTAAAGGGGCTAAGTGCAGAAATGGCTAAGAAACATAACTTGCAAGATAATTGTGAGTGGTGTGTGTATCAGAACCAGAGTTCTATTGGAGTTGTGACACATTTGCCTAGATAATAACTGCCTGGGATACCAATGGCAGCATTTTTCACTGTTTTTTGTCCTGGCTAGGGTTTGTGAAATTTGGATTCTAACATCTGGAAGGGCCATGTTATGTCCCATCCTTGCCATTTCTGCAACAGTGTCCCATGTCTCTGCTTGTATCACAACAGTAATGGGGAAACATATGACCCTCCAAATGTTGCTGGACCATACCTCTTATATCAGTAGTCACCACTGACAGTCCAGTGTCACTGGGGAGGCACATTCCCTTCTCTGAAAAGAATCTAGTTTCAGAATCTTATTTTACATATCCAGAATTGAATTAATTAATTTTAGGTGAAAAAGAATTATGAAGCCCTCAAGCAAAGACAAGAAGAAGAGAAAATGGTACAGAATTGTTCTTCAAGAAGCAGTGAGGAAAGTCAGCCTGTCAATAAATGGGAAAGAGAAAGTCAAGAAACTACTAGAGAGCTTCTGAAGGTTAAAGACAGATTAATTGAAGTTGAGAGAAATGTGAGTAATATTTGGGATTCGTTGAATATTTATCACTTAGATTTTAAATCTGTGTATTAAATTGTCAAGGGACGTAGTGGCACTGTGGGTTAAATCGCAGAAGCCTCTGTGCTGCAAGGTCAGAAGACCAGCAGTCGTAAGATTGAATCCACAGGACAGAGTGAGCTCCCGTCACTTGTCCCAGCTCCTGCTATCCTAGCAGTTTGAAAGCATGTAAATGTGAGTAGAGAAATAGGTACCGCCACTGTGGGAAGGTAACGGCGTTCCGTGTCTAGTCATGCTGGCTATGTGACCACAAAAACTGTCTTCGGACAAACGCTGGCTCTACGGCTTGGAAACGAGAATGAGCACCGCGCCCTAGAGTCGGACATGACTGGACTAAATGTCAAGGGGCACCTTTCCCTTTCCCTGTTAAATTGTCAGTGTATTACATTTACAAACTGTGTACTTGGAATCTGATGTTGAGCAGATAAAGTTGACGTTGTTTGTCATGTTAGTTGGGGATTTTGTTAACTTCGACATGTGAAGAATGTAGACAGGATGTTTGGAATGGTGAGTGCTGTCTTCTGTTTATTTGATCCTTGTCACTGCTAGCCAATCAAAGCTGACAAAGTGGGCCTACTGCCATTTTAAAATACTCCCTTAAAGAAAGAGATTGTTCTTTCCTGACTAAAGTAAGCTGTTGCAAAGTACCTCTTAAAGAAACCTGTCCTGAACCCAGAAGCCCTGATTAATTATAGTCTCAAATACTCTATTACAGATTGACACAAACCTCAGAGATTTATGCTGGTTCACCACGGGTGCCGCTCATTCCCTCCCCCCCGACTGACTTGACTAGTCCCAACAGGAGTGCGTGCTTCCTCCTCCGCCTCCTCCAGCAACCACCCACTCAGACTAGGAGGCGGGGCAGGGATTCCTGCACCGCTGCCTGTGAGCAGGTGGCTGCTGGGTGAGGCAGAGGAGGGAAGCACACACTTCCTGGGACTGGTCAAACACACGAAGAGGAGGAGAAGATCAATACATGCTGGCTGGTGGATGGCAGAAGGTAACGTGTGGCATCTGTGGTGCCGTTCCAATGAACCGGCACAAACCTCTGAACCAAGATTTGTGTCAATCTCTATTCACTATTTCATGTAGTTGAGAAGTTGGTGGCCTTGTACCTCCTAAGCACTTCTGGATAACATTGATTATCTGGACCCCATTCAGTTGGACTTTTGACTGGTGTTGCAGTTCTTCCTGTCTGAGTGTACCCAAAAAGTGGTGATGGAGGACAGTTTTGACATCATGGCCATGACAAGTGGTGTCCCTTAGGGATCTGTGCTATCCTCTATGAAATTTAATATCAACATGAAACTCTGAGAGAGGTTATTTGTAACTTTAGAATACAGAGTTGCTGATGGGTGGTGACACCTAAGTCTTGTTACCTACCACAGAGTGAGCAGTCACTATCCTAGAACACTGCCTATGTTTGATAACATGGTAGATGAGGATGAATAGGCTGAAATGAATATCTGAGTATATGGAGATTCTGTGGGTGGTTGAAAATCGGACTCAAAGACAGGGATTCAACCTGTTCTAGAAGAGATTGAACTTCCTGCTGACTGATCAGGTTCATAATCTAAGAATATACAATGTTTCTGGTGACAAGGGGTGCAGTTGTACATCTCTCCTTAGTGCACAAGCTGCAGCCTTCACGGAGTACCCCTGACCCAGGAATATTCTTTCATGTCTTAGTTGTATTATGTGACTACTGCAATGCACTCTGCATGGGGCTACTCTTGAAGGAGGTCTGGGATGTTCAGTTGGTGCACCTGTTCTGAGTTTGATTTTAACTTACAAAGCCCTAAATGGTGTGGGACCTAGCTATCTAAGGAATTACACAACTCAGCATGAACCTGTCCAGATATCTAGAGGAGCCTTCAGGAGAATACCATCTGCAGAGGCATATGGGAAAAAGCTGTTGTCTGGCTGAACAAAGCCCATATTCGTACTTCGAGAGGTTGGTTACATTCTTACTGTGAAACATGTTGCTATAGAACTGGAACACAGCAGTGCTTTCAATGAAAGCCAGTGCCATTAAGCAACTTCAGATCCAGCCTGCTATATAGACTATTCTATTTGTTTATTTCGAAGATTTATATGCTGTCCTCCATCAAAAGACCTGTGGGATACAGTTTACTAAGTCTAAGCAATGTAATAATTTAAAAATAACTTAATTTAAAACAGCTTCAAGTATATAAAAAATCGTAAGTTTAAGACAGTTTAAAACCATGTATCCATAATTGGGCTCTGTGGCCTACTTAAGTCGGATGTTTAAACCCCAATGAATCTTGGAAAGGTTGGCTACATTCTTACTGTGAAACATGTTGCTATAGAGCAGGAACACAGCAGTGTTTTCAATGAAGGCCAGTGCCATTAAGCAACTTCAGGTCCAGCCTGCTATATAGACTATTCTATTTGTTTATTTCGAAGATTTATATGCTGTCCTCCATCAAAAGACCTGTGGGATACAGTTTAATAAGTCTAAGCAATGTAATAATTTAAAAATAACTTAATTTAAAACAGCTTCAAGTATATAAAAAATCGTAAGTTTAAGACAGTTTAAAACCATGTATCCATAATTGGGCTCTGTGGCCTACTTAAGTCGGATGTTTAAACCCCAATGAATTTGCTGAAGATCCACATTTTAGCTTGGCACTGAAATGAGGCCAGCATTGGCACCAGTAGTGCCTATAACAAACTATGCATCTGTCATATTTTCACATGCTAAGTATAGGTTTGGACACTCAGCATTCCTCTCTGTTCTCAGATCCACCAACTTATTATTAATGGTAAATACAATACAGAGGCCCAGATCCTCTTGTCTAGTCTCTCAGGAGTAATACAATGGCATAATTTCTGAGGTGAATTCCCTTAAGTTAAGAGATCACTGTAGACAGTATCTATTGCATATGCAGTTGAGTGATTCAGTGTACAACAGATACTGTCTATTGTGAGAAGTATGGCAGAATTCTGTAATTAGATTTAAACTATACTTCCAACATTTTTGAAAATAAAATCCTGTATTAACTAGGAATACGTTACACTGAAGAGTGTTTACCATTTGTAATTGTGTTACATTTCTTTTTGGTTATTCCTGTATTAAGTGTATGCTGTGTGAGAGGTTGACAGTGACCAGGTTTGGGTGCTACTTCATCTTCTTTGTAAGCATTTGAATGACTGTTACAGAACAATGCTTGTGAATAACATGTGAAAACTCAGTGGTCCAATGGTATTTGATGATAAAACATGTTTTCAGTAGTCTGGTTTCTTTTGGTTTCCTTTGTAGACTGTACTTAAGACAAGTGAAGATTTATAAAATCCATGGATTCCCTTGAAAATTCAACTGTCACACTTCTTTTCATGTATACTTGTGAAAGTTGTGACAATTTATTGCAAATCCACACTTTGCAATTTCAAGAGAGAATTACTGCATGTACATAAATGGGCTTTCTAATGGACTGATGACTGCTGGTCTCCATATTTGAGCAACTTTGGTGTAAGAGAGATTTGCGTATTTTGAACACATTTTGAAGTTCCTCCCCAAGTGTTCTTCCATCATTTCCCTTACTTTAGCAATCTCAATTTTTGTTCTTCTTAGGTAAAATCTAACTGGCTCTTGTGTCATCCAATATCACAGTCAAAACAAATTTTGTAACTTAATACGTATGCAGGCTTGCTTATATATTTTAAACTACTTCTTATTATAATATTTGAATGCTTGCAGACTTCAGAATGTTTTGGCATAGAATAGACCTTGAATATCATCAATGTTTTTGCTTATTTAGATGGTGTGTACATATTTTTGTTTCTTTTTAAAGAATGCAACTCTGCAGGCGGAGAAACAAGCACTGAAAACACAACTAAAGCAGCTTGAGACACAGAACAATAATTTGCAAGCTCAGATTTTATCACTGCAGAGACAGACTGTTTCCTTACAGGAGCAAAATACAACCCTGCAAACCCAGAATGCCAAGCTTCAGGTTCCGTTTTCATAAATTATGTTTATTTTACAATCCATCAGCTGTAGCTTGCAAATGAAGACCTTGCTGTTAACAACACTGCAGTAGTAATCTTGTTAGTGCAGTGTTTATGTGAAATATTCTTATATATGGAATGTAAGCAATTTAACAGGCAGTATCCTTACTGAAGTAACTTGTTTAAGTGTATGAGGTATTGTTCAATGTACTTAACTCTGAAAACTATTTTTGTGTCAATCCTTATTTTATTGCTTAGAAGCACTGTATCACAGAGCAGACTGTAGAGGAGGTATAGAACAGGAAGGTGGTTTGTATCAAATCTGACTGTTCATCTATCTAGTCTGATTATTCAGTTGTTGCTCTGATAGAGCTCTCCTGCATTGTCTGCTACTCTTTCCTTCCAACTGAAGTTTCTGAGAATGGAACCTGGGGGTCCTCTGCATGTATAAAACTTCAGCTCAGTGCCAACATTTACTAAGTACAGCAGAGGGGAACTAGTTTTAAATCTGTTAACTGTGCTAACCTAGACCAGACTTCCCCAAAACTGTCACTTTCCATATATTTTTTGCTCCCATCATCACTGACAGTTGACCATGCTACATGGGGCTGATGGAGACTATTGGCTTAGAGATCTGGAGGAGTTTGGGGGAAAGCTTATTTGGACAAATTGTTGACCTGAGGTTCATAAGGACTTTGTTATTCATTGTCCATTTTCACTTTTGACAATTTCAGGTGGAAAATTCTGCTATCAATTCACAAAGTACTTCACTTATGAATCAGAATGCACAGCTGTTGATTCAGCAGTCTGCCTTGGAAAATGAGAATGAGTCCATAATCAAGGAACGGGAGGAGCTGAGGTCATTATATGATTCGCTAGTCAAAGATAATGAAAAACTGGAACAGCTTCATGAACGGCAAGCTGTTGAATATGAATCCCTAATTTCCAAACATGGAAACCTTAAATCAGCACACAAGAATCTTGAAGTGGAACATAAGGATTTAGAAGACAGGTGATTACAATATAGTAAATCCATCTAAAATGCTAGACTCTAAATCCTTAAAATTATATATTTGTTGAAAGCAAAATGTACATTTTTGAATTGTTTTATATAATCTTATTTGACAGATATAATCAGTTGCTGAAACAAAAAGTACAGCTAGAGGAACTGGAAAAAGCTCTCAAAGCAGAACAAGAGAACATGCTGCAGCAAAACAAAAGGCATGAAACGGTAGCAACAGATTACAGAAAACTTTGTGATGAAAATGATAGGTAAGAAAACAATGCTATATTATTTTCTGAATATAATGTTGTAGTCCTAACTTCTGATGAAAACAGATAGGAGAGGGATTGAGCTAGCTTCACTCTTGCAGGCTCTGCTGCAGGCTAAAAGCCCCTTTACCAGTTCTGGAAAGAATTGTGGGCAGACAAGTGCCATGTGGTGCTGCCAAGAAAAATGTGTTCTTAAGAGGCAGTGAACTGTTTGTGCTCTCCAGCATGACACTGAGCATATTGGAGCCCACTTAGCCCAGCCTCATCTGCACTGTGCACACAGCTGAAAGCAGGCAACTGATGTCTGTTCCCCCATGACACTGTGTCTCCTGTCAAAAAGAGAGTTGCCTTGCCTCGGCAAAGACTTAGCCACTCTAAACATGCATCACTATTTCCTAGGATATACAGATACCCACACATTCCAGCAGAACAGATTGTTGAAGTCAAAAGTATGACACTTGACCTACGTCTGCAGAGCACTACAAAATGTAGATTGAGTCTGTGGTGGTCCATCACAGCTGACATTTATCCCTGAAAGGTTTAATTCCTGTGTGAATCAAATAACCTTGTAAGTCATATCAATGTTCATCTGGGTACCAGCGTTTCAGTCGTTTCATAATTGAAATTATTCAAGGCAACATTAGTTTATTTATTTCTACAAGCTTTATGCATTTACATTGCTTCTATGTTCCATATGTATAACAATAAGTAAAACATGTAATTTTTAAGAAGTAACAGGCATGTTACTTCAAAAATCACTCTTACGAATATGAACAAAGCTATAAGTACAAATTATTAAGAATATATGAAGACTGAATTTATGTTAAAAGGAAACCCATTTACATTGCTTCTGTGTTCCATATGTATAACAATAAGTAAAACATGTAATTTTTAAGAAGTAACAGGCATGTTACTTCAAAAATCACTCTTACGAATATGAACAAAGCTATAAGTACAAATTATTAAGAATATATGAAGACTGAATTTATGTTAAAAGGAAACCAAAATATAGTGCAGTTTTTAGCTATAAGAAATTAATCTTCAGTTGCAGGCAAAAAGCAGAGAGTACGATTCTTGAAAAAGTATATTATATATTATTTGGTTTTTGGCAATTCAAACACATGTAAATGAAAACAGCAAGTTTTCTAAGCATTCACCCAGCCATCTGCCAGTTTAAATTTGTGGAGAAAAATCCATAATTTGCTTGTCTGTGTGGGTTGTCAACTGGTTCTACATGGTGTCTGATGATTTCTTCTTCCTCCCCATTCCCCAGCTTCATGCCTTGCTTTTTTCTCTTGGCTTGGCACCTTGGCCATGTTACACTAGTCCTTTTATACAAATATGTTTCCCTATATTTGTTGATATGTATATTCTTGCCTAACATGCAGTTACCAGACCAGTGTAATTTCTCATAGACTTTGCTGAACTGGAGAACATTTGCTGATTAGAAAACTGTAAACATTCTGCTTCTGTCTCAGCCCTAGAAAAATTTATAAGTTTTACTAAGTGGTTTGCCAAAATAGCAGGCTACATTCATTTAAATTGTGTTTTCCTAACTTGGAGAGCCAAATAGCCTTTTACATGTATTTTAAGAGAACTTCATCAGAAATTAGGACTGCACCTTTAAAACTCCCAGTCTTTCCTGATGGGTTGTGCCTTGTTGAGTGCTGACTGATTGAGATGAGCCTTAGGAGACTGTTCATTCAAACTGACTGTGATACCTTCCACATTTAAAACACAGATGGTTATATATGTCTGCACTCTTACAGCCTCACTAGGCATCATGCAGATGCCATCCAAATGTGTAGATGTAGAAACAAATTAAAAGAAACAGTGTGCCATATGTAACTGGAGTATCAATGAGAACTTCTGTTGCATGTCTGATCCCAGAGATGCAGACATAAAAGGGATAGCATTGCTGGCAAGAAAATGATGCAAGAGCAGAAAATACATGTTTTTTTGAATATGTGCTTTAGCTTTTAGTGGCTTCAAGGACAGAAAGGGAATTTTGAAAGCATCAAGATCTAACTAAGGCTGCAACGCCTCTTCTCTGAGTTGAACTGACACATTTTTTATTTTCCCTATTGCCTCTGCATCCATTTCTGACCAGCAGGGTTGCACAGCAAGTGGATTAAATATAGTGGAGAAATTCTGCGTTGTGAAATTTAGAATGAACTTGATCTCAAATCCAGTGCATAAATATTAGAAACTTTTCATTTCATTAAATTAGCAAAGGACAGTAAACATACAGCATTTTCATAGAAACTGGCCATAGGCCGTCACAATGAATGTGATTATATTAATAATGCAAATCTCTCCTAACATTAATTTGATTGCAATATGATTCATGCACATATTCTTTGCTAATAGTTATTAACTTAATTTTTGTTCATTTTAAATTTTAGATTAAATCATACATATACCCAGCTTTTGAAAGAGAATGAAGTTCTCCAAGTGGATCATAAAAATTTGAAAACACTACTAAATAATTCTAAACTAGAACAAACACGATTAGAAGCTGAATTCTCAAAACTCAAGGAGCAGTACCAACAGCTGGACATCACATATACAAAGCTAAACAATCAGTGTGAGGTAATCATTTTACTTTACTTCAATCCTGTGAAATCACACAAAATGCAGTAATAATTTAATCTTGTGCAGTAAAATGCAAGTGGAGGGGGAAAGCAGCAATCAAAGCGATCCTGCAGCCCTTTGATCGCTGGTTTCTCCCTCCTTTTGCTAAGCCCTGGGCTTAAGAAGCGGTGAGGAAAGCAGTGATCAAATTTTCTAATTTAGAAGCGGTGAGAAAAGCAGTGATCAAATTTTCTAATTTGGGGTTAGAAAAGTGGCGGTCATTTTATACATGGAAAATATGGTATGTATATGCTGTCTTAAATACCATGTTCTGTCATAGAAGCTAGTCTTGACTTTGAGATCTATAGGAGTGGAATAGTTTTATGCATCGGGGCATCTTACACATGGAAAGTATGGTATGTATATGCTATCATAAATACCATGTTCTGTCATAGAAGCTAGCCTTGACTTTGAGATCTATAGGAGTGGAATAGGTCTCTATTTCCTTCTCTTGGTGATTTTACCATCAGAGTTACATTTGGAAAGGACAAGAGCAGGCCTTTGTGGTGGCTACTCCAAGAGAAGCTAGGCAGGACCTCTACTGTTGTTCTTCCACCACCTGTTTATTCAGGCAGGCTTTTGGCAGCTGAGTGGCTGCTAAGAAAAGAAGCAGATGTTCTGTACTATTTGGTTTGTATTATTTTTATTTTCATACTTTTATTTTTATTTGAACCAGATTTTTAATTAGATAGAGAGCTGCCTTGGCTCTCAGCTTGTGGGAGAAAGAGGGGATCTGAATCAAAGAACATTATTTTCAGGATGGTTGGAGCCTTGGTCACCTGCCCAGCATGGGAAGTAGCATAGGGAGCTGCACAAAGAGGTTGAAATCAGCAAAATTGCCCTCTTTTATAGAAAGAGTGTTTCAAATAAAAACTGGAAGTGTTAGGAGAAAGCCTGGGTTATCTTGAAATGTTTTTCCACTGGTGCAAATAACACTACGACTATTAACAGATCCTGCTGAGTGTTCTCTTTGATTAGAAGAAAGGCAGTTAGTAGTCATCTCCATTTTCTAGGTGCATACGTCCATTACTTAATTCATTTTCTGACCATTTCTTTATTTTGAGTTTTATAAAGTTGGGGACATAGTCTGTAGTAAAATATTGTGTTTTGCATCTCCATTTTCTAGGTGCATACGTCCATTTCTTTATTTTGAGTTTTATAAAGTTGGGGACATGGTCTGTAGTAAAACATTGTGTTTTGTATACTTTTAACAGTTACTTAGCCAGCTAAAAGGAAACCTGGAAGAAGAAAATAGACATCTACTCGATCAAATACAGACGTTAATGCTGCAAAACAGAACCTTGTTAGAACAGAATATGGAAAGCAAAGACCTTTTCCACGTTGAGCAAAGGCAGTATATGTGGGTATCAAAAAAAAGTGAACTGGCTGTACACAACCTAACTGCAGTTAGATCGTCATATAGAAATTTATCGTGGAAACATTAATCAATACATCCATTAGCAACAATTTACTCCTAGCTCAGTGTTAGTCATTGGTGTTCTCTGTAGAAGTGTGTTCAGTGTTGAATGCTCTTGAAAACTGTTCCTTACATTGCCATAATCCTGAGGGGGGGAGACGACATTTTCTTGTAATAGATTACAAGTATTCCGTCCCTTCCCTTAACATTGCTGCCTTGAGAGAGTTGGCACTGATTCCACATACAGTACAAGAAAAACATCTGGGCATTTATTGCATAGACGTACAAACAAACCTGAAAATTCATTAAAGTACTTAAATTTAATATTCAAAGAAAATATATTTTCACAGAAACACATGTGCATATGAAATATATATTATTCTTATTTTTACAGTGACAAACTAAATGAATTGAGAAGACAGAAAGAAAAATTAGAAGAAAAGATTATGGATCAATATAAATTCTATGAACCATCTCCCCCCAGAAGGTAATGCTTTCTCCCCCCGCACCTCATTTGACAGTTTCAGCTTCGCTGACCTCACAAGAAAAGGTTGTCTGTGTTAGTTAAAGAAGGAAGCAAATTGCTTTAAAATATAACAGTGCCAATGGCTTAATTCTAAATGTAACATTGCTCTTTCTTCTAAAGGAGAGGCAACTGGATTACTCTAAAAATGAGAAAGCTTATAAAATCGAAGAAGGAGGTTAACCGAGAACGCCTCAAGTCCCTGACTCTGACACCAACTCGCTCAGAATCCACTGAAGGATTTCTTCAGCTGCCACATCAGGACAGTCAAGATAGTTCATCAGTGGGCTCAAATTCTCTTGAAGATGGTCAGACTGTGGGGGCTAAAAAAAGCAGCAGTGAGTAAATTGACTGATCTTAATAAGGAGTAATAAGTAGTATGTTTACAGATGAGTTAAAAGGTTGAAATTTAAGAAAAAACATTGGCTTAAAAAGTAATGTGATCATTCATCCTTGCATGGCCATGAATTTAAAAAGTCCTACAGCAGAGAAATAATCTTAATGTGTATTTTAGGACAACAGTATAGTATTCAAATACACAGAAAAATATGGTCCAAGCTGAATTTTGCAGGTAAAATTCATATCTCCTTTACCCGTAACCTTTGCTTTTTTCTATACTGTCTCTTTTCATCCTTTCATAACACTTCTGCCTTATGTGTCTAGGTGTCCTTATTAATGTTTTTACACTGCTGCTGAATTGATTCTGCTTCTTTGCATGTTCATGCACATAATGAGGTCTTCTGATGGAGTTGTTACAGTGCAACACTGACTCTCGTATTGCATGGAAGAAGCCTTGCTGCACCATCTGCCTCCCAAAACGGCATGGTGATGCACAAATCTAGACAGCAGCTTGATGAGGTGTTAGCACTATGTGGGAGTCTACCCTCTGTGATCACAATATATTTTCTATGGATGCAAGTGGTACAGCACTGCAGTATCTTTTCTCTCATTCCTTATCTCATTCCTTTTCATCACACTTTACCATCACTGCACTGGAGTGTGAAACTACACCGGCAGAATGTGTATGAAATTCATCCATTAATCACATCTCATACTAGTATCGTTTTGAAATGAAATAGTGCAAGTGAGATGTTTATTGTATTTGACTATGATTTCAAAATATTCAATGCAGAATCATAGTATAGTTTTGAAATGGAATAGTGCAAGTGAGATGTTTATTGTATGATTTCAAAATATTCAATGCAGAATCAAAAAAGAAGGCAATTCAGGCTGCAATACTAAGCCTGATTACTATGTTAAGGCCAGGATAGCAGATTTCTGCTGATTATCTAACAGAAAAATCCATTGTACAGGATGAATACTTACCCTGAAAGGGACCTGAGTAAATCATCCATATCTTCCTACAATAAATGGAACACATATATGTTTTTGTTCATTAAGTGAACAATTCATAACAGCGATAAGATATGTTATACTGAATAGGTGGGTTTGTGATGGATGCACTGGATTTTTATTCATTTAATGTCTTTATCTTTTTATATGCATATTTAATTTATTTCTTTGTGCATTTCTGTTAAAAAACATTCCTACTTTTATTTCAACATGTGTGTAAACATTAAATCAACTTTTCTGTTTTACAGTAATTTTAACACTTCAGTTGATGAATAGTTTTTACAGTTCTGATTCATTCGCGAAAACTGATAACCCATGGAATACTGTTAATTCAGAGACCTCTGGGTAGTGTGGGCGGCATAGCGAAAACTGATAACCCATTGAATACTGTTAATTCCTTCTATCTAGAAATCTCAGCATTTGTTTTATGATCTTTAGAGAGAATAGTTTTTTTATAAAATTTCCAGAAGAGCTGGTGGTGGTTTTAATAGCTTAAGAGTTCCATGTCTCAGTTGAGTTCTAAGACTAGTTCCATGCTTATCTGTCATTAAATGTAGTCTGCCGTTGCTGTCCACCAGCAAGAGGAATCTTACTTTCCCAGCCTGAAAGGGGCCTTGTTTGTGCCTAGTGATCTAGAGTAATCAGCTGTTGTTCTCAGATGTCTTTAATAGTGCTGGCAACATTACTGAGATGCTTCTAAATACTGGAACAGTCAATGTTAGGGAGAACTGAGAAAACAGGAGTGTTGTGGTTTTGTGTAGCTTAGTGTTACCAGATATGGAGAGCTAACCAGGCTGGTTCTTTCTCAGAATAATCCTGCTGAAGAACTTCTTTGTTTTCTTTACAAGTGAAACATTTTTATGAGGCTTATCACAATGAAAACCTGTTTGTGGCTGGCTTATTTTAAAATATAATAGCCAGAATCCTATTAGGTTTCATAAGGTAAGCCCAAGATTGCATAATGTTACAGATATTGTTTGATTGTTCTGGTTGGCTGCCACATGCTTGAACATACTCAAGTTGTATGCTTGGTTGAGTACTTGGTTGTTTGCCCAAGCGTACAACAGATTGTCAGAAAATTGTGGGAACCACTTGTCCAATTTTCCTTATGCATATGGTATTTTTCAGTAGGAATCCAGCCAGTGTTCTTCCTTTTTTAATGTTTATGAGAGATCTCATGGGTTATGACAGAACTCACATGTGAGGTCACTCCCACAACCCACACTGAGGCCTGGAGAACGTAAATACCTCATTGTATTTATATCAGGTCATGCATAAAGTTGGACTTACAGTTGTTTGTCGCCCTGTGTCATCTTGGAACATGTGTGTTTTGAGTGAAACTGAACTAATTGCCACCCATCATTTTTAAAATCTGTATACGTTAGGGGATTGTTTTTCTCTCATTTTGCCTCACCTTCCTTCACCATGCTGAATGTGGTGGAATAGAGAAATCCTTGCTAGTTTCACGAAGTTATTTCACTATCAGCCTCCTTTGCTTTACAGTGAAACTGACATTTTATTGTACAAGCTGAGATGTTCTCAAAACTGCTAGGAAAGTGCACATTTTCCCTCTTTACATCTTTGTCATTTTCCCCTAAGCTTGTCAGTTTCATCTGAAGAGCAGACTGGAAGATAGCCAGGGGTTTAGGGCTAGAACAATACCCTATGCATGACAAGGAAGTCTAGTTGCTGGGCATTGTCAGTCAGGTTGCCAGGTAGGCAGTTGGGAGGAGTGATTTTTCTCCTGTAATGAAGGGGATGTTGGCAGAATTTAAAGTGGGAAAGGCATAACTTCTGAACAGTGGGAAAGTGCACTTAGTAAAGTGGATTAAAATTTCTGTTGCCAGTAAATCTGGAGCTTCTAAATGCGTAGAGGTGGAAGAAGCATCAATAATTTAAGATATATATGGGTGACACCATTTTACTGGGAGAAAAGAGCAGTGCCTTGAAAGAACTGCTGAAGAAGGTTGACAAGGCGCAAAAGCAGGATTATAGCTGAACATAAAAAACCCCAAAAATAATGATTATAGAAGAATTAAAATGGGTGACACCATTGTACTGGGAGAAAAGAGCAATGCCTTGAAACAACTGCTGAAGAAGGTTGACAAAGCGCAAAAACAGGATTACAGCTGAACATAAAAAAAAACCCAAAAATAATGATTATAGAAGAATTAAAACGTTAATGTTGGCAATGAAGAAAGTGCAATTGTTAAAGGTTTCCTATAGCTCAATTCAGTCATCTAACCAAACAGAGACTGCAGCCAAGAAAACAGAGTAAGGGGAGCTATGAAGGAAAAGATCTGTAAAAGTAAACATATTTTGTTGGAGACCAAGGCCAAGATCGTCCATCTTGTGGTATTCCTAGTTACTATGTATAGATGTGAAACCTGGACAGTGAAAAAAAATGACAGGAGAAATTGTTTCATTCAAATTATAGTTTGGGGAACAAAGTTTACAGATATCATGGATTGCCAGAATCGGTGGATTCTAATGCAAATCAAGCCAGAACTCTCACTAGAAGTTAAAATGTTTAAACTGAGGTTGTTGTGGACATGTAATAAGAAGACAAGACTGACTAGAGAAGACAAGAATGCTGTGAAATGTGAAAGACATTATAAAGAGAAGACCTAGATGCATTGACTCAGTAAAGGAATCCATAATCTTGTTTGCAAGATCTGAACAGCACCGTTAATGATTTTGAGACACCATAGATTGTTAATGGCTTCATGCCATTAATTCATTGAGGCACCATGGATTCTCAATGGCTTAATGCCATAAAACAACAAAATGCATATGATATCTAGATTTAAATCTCTTACTGCTGTTTCAAACATATTTATGAGAAAAGATTTCAGTCACTTAATTTTCACAATTTCCAACTTAACAGCGTTGCTTAATAATGTGGTCTACTTTCAGGTTTATTTATTTATTTATTTATTTATTTATTTGATTTTTACCCCGCTAATTCATTGAGGCACCATGGATTCTCAATGGCTTAATGCCATAAAACAACAAAATGCATATGATATCTAGATTTAAATCTCTTACTGCTGTTTCAAACATATTTATGAGAAAAGATTTCAGTGACTTAATTTTCACAATTTCCAACTTAACAGCGTTGCTTAATAATGTGGTCTACTTTCAGGTTCTGGTACAAGCCAAATATCTAGGTAAATACCAAGAGTTCCTGGTTAAAGCAAGTTATCCTCATTTCGACCTGGCTTCAAGCCTGGCTGTGGGCTTGAATTTTGGTCACCTTGGTGGATTACCTAGGATTACCTATGCCAGGAACTGAACAGTGTGTACCTCTTCAGCCTGTTGGACTCTGAGTGGCTTTCAATTGACTTAGAATCTTTCTGGGCCATGTCTCTGGGATGAGAATTCGAAGACACTATTTTACAGTAGTTTTGGTCTTTCCTGGGGAGTGGAGGAGGGTACTCAGAAGATGGTGCTACAGGGCTCCTGTTTGATGCCCTGGGTGTTGGCCTATGGTGTTCTTCAGGGTTCTTTTTTGTCCTCCATCCTATTTAAGGTATATATGAAACCATTAAGAGAGGTTGTCCAGAGTGTCACCTATATATAGATGACATTCAAAGGTATCTCTTATTTTCATTTAAGAGAGGTTGTCCGGAGTGTCACCTATGACATTCAAAGGTATCTCTTATTTTCATTGAATTCCAAGGTCTCAATTATAAACCAGTGCCTGATATCAGTAATGGACTGGATAATAACAATTTGAAATTTAATCCAGACAAGACAAAGGTGCTCCTGGTCACTTGAAAGGCAGATGTGGGAAGTGGGATTCAGAGTGTATTGGGTGGGGCACTCCTCCTAAAAATGTAGGTGCATAATTTGACTAGATTCATCCTTGAGTCTATATACCCAAATTGGTTTCATAACTCATGGGGGAGGCAGGGAGCAGAATTGGCAAGGAATCATAGGTTTAGGGCCTGGCGTGCTCTAGTCCATGGGGTCATGAAGAGTTGGAGACGACTTAATGACTAAACAACAAGTGCACATATACAGATTTCCTCTGCAAGTGCCTCTCTTGTAGTACACAATATAGTTTATGGTGTAACCAGTATGATGTAGTGAATATTAGGATTCAGGAAACCTGGATTCAAATCCTCATTTGGCTATGGAGACTCACCCAGTGGGTGACACTGGTAAAACCACTCCTTAAATATTTGGCATACCTTATTAGTAGTACAGATACACCTTTGAGAGGCTCCTTCTGTAGAGCCTAAAAGACAGTGAGACTGAGACTGTTTTTAGGCTGCATGTCCCAGGATTCTACCTGGTGGAATTCCTGGTGGATTCTGGGAGTTGCAGTTCAAAAGAAATGAAAGTCACATCCCTAGTTGTAAATCCATCTACACTTCCTGGGAGAAAGCACTAGGGAATACAATAAGATTTTCCTGAGTAAACAGCTGAAAAGGCTCAATTTCTGTTTAGAAGTCTTTCTAGTCTCCCACAGTGTATCAACCCGCAGAAACATAGAAATAAAAGAAAATAGTTGTTGCTTATGTAAAAAGGATGGGCACTCCCTACCCATTGTTCTGTGGCCCCTAGACTGTTATTGACTGCTGGTGCCAGAAGTGGATGGAAACATGTCAAAACAGAGAGTATAGAACTCCTGGAAAAAAGGATTAACACTCGCCCACAGATCCACTTCCTCCCATTTTTAACAGTTTTTCTAACTCCATTTCCTGTAGGTTTTTTAAATAGCAACATCTCACATCTATTGCCACATTTCCTCTCTTTGGCTAAAGTGGCTCATTTTCATGGTAACTTGGGAAAGAAACAAAGACAGTGGAAAGACTTATTTGGCTGACCTTGCTGATGATGAGTTTGCACAAATACACACTCATAGCTTGTGCTTGAATGCTTGGTGATATCACTCTGAAATGTGAATGTCTGATAGTTGCATGGCTCTTGCATAAGACCTCAAACCTGGCACTAATGAAAAGTGAATTGTTCACAAAATTTAAGGTTTAAAATTCTCTTTGCAGATACTGCCCATTTGATTTAAATGTTTCAAAACTATTGCTGTTCTTCCCTTCTTTCTTTTGATCATCATTGTTTTGTTTGATAGCTTCTCCCCAATAAGCAGCATGATGTGTCACTTAACCAAAAGTTTTTACTTAAAATGGTAATATGTCAGATTATGAGGTTTCCGCATTTCATTCCAATAATTTCTTGATAGGTAGCATATGGTCAGTTACTTCATCAAAACCAGGGAAAATATCATGGCTGCTGTTGTTGGCATTTGAAAGAAGTGAAATGGGTGAAACAAAGCAACATTTAAAATAGGCAACTAATGTGGAAAAGATGGCAACCACATGAAAACAAGAAATGAAGGCAGTGCTTATAAAAATATGTTTTATTAAATAAATTAGCACTTTTGGAGATACTTTTCCGATTTATAAAGCTGTTTGAGAAGTTCTCATTTCCTACCACAAAACCAGCACTTTATTTTGGATGCATTTTTGGTTTTTTCCTTGGTTTTTCAGGCACGTAGCAATTCTGAACTGTGAAAGTTGCTTACAGCTCTCAAGTATAATCTCCGATTTTTCTTGAGTTGTATTAAAAGTTTCACAGTGGAGGCTTCATATTCCATTGCCATTCAGTAGCATAAGGTTAATAGCTTTTAGTAAAGTGCACCTAGTGGAAGCTCAAGCATTCATTTCTCTCCTTAGTTTCAACATTTAACTTCCATCTGTTCTTCTCCCCTTTTTCTTTCATCTTCCCGTTTCCGTTTTTCCTTATGCTATGACATAAAAGTGGTTGCACTGAAAAGACTGCCCTTTTTGAGGAACAGACCGAAGGAAAAAGACAAAATGAAGGCCTTCTACCGTCGCTCCATGTGTAAGACTTTATGACAGTTCAGCTTCTTTTTAAATGGCTACTCTGACTTCTAATACTAATTTCACTAACCATTCCTTGGACTGCGCTGTTTTTTCTGTTTTGCAAGGTGCAAGTCCTGCTATAATACAAGGAGCTGAAGCAGTGTTTCTAAACACCTTGACACTCACTTGTGCATCACTGTTGGGGTGTATAAAATTGTGTATTCATATGCATACATATGTTTACACATAGAGTGAAACGTTCATACGTTTAGGTTATGGAAGTCACTGGAATTTGAACATAATATATACACATTTATGTATGTATATATAATAATACAGTGCCCTTAACACATTTGCAGATTTTGAACTGCATTCCTAATAATCACTTTTAAAACACAAATACATATCTTATTGTTTAGTAAAATGCTCTTGAAGAAGGTGGGGGAAGTGATATGTAAAGATATCTATCACAGGATGCTTTTATTTTGGATCCTTCTCTCTAGTGTCATACAAGATAGTCTATTCCTACAGAAGCCTGCACTGAAGAATCCCTTATTGTCGCCAACACTGACTTTGTATTAGCACTTCTGCTCATCTTATCCTATCCATTCCATTTTGTCATTGCAAAACATATCAGAGCTTCTAACATATGTTTATCTATTATATAGCACTTCAGCACAAGCATGGCGGTTGTAGCTAATAAAAAGCGATTGCAATCATCTCTAGAAGGCGGCTTTGGCTTTTTAACACTTTTCATTCATTTAGCCAATTGCATGCTGTAACTTGTATGGACTTGTGTACTGTAGCTTTCAGTATGTGTTGATGCTGAAATAAACATGAAGCATTTTACAGTGCAAAATAAGAAATTAAAGAACATTGAACCATGCTGATTCATTTGCTTTCATTTGCATCCCAGCCATGAATGACCTGATGCAGTCCATGGTCCTAGCAGGAGGACAATGGACAGGTAGTTCTGAGCATCTGGAGGGTCCTGATGATATATCTACGGGTAAAAGGAGAAAAGAATTGGGATCTATGGCCTTCTCTACTACATCCATCAACTTTGCAACTGTCAACTCTGCTGCAGGCTTGAGATCCAAGCAGTTGCTTAATAATAAAGGTATAGGTAGACCCTTTTCACAGTGTGGTGTGGTTGTGTTGGTAACAGTAGCATTGTTAGAATCTGTTTGTGTTCTCTGTTACAAATTCTGAACTGCAGATTTGTGGAATAATAGAATGGGGAAGAGATGCTGTATTTGTAGACTCCTTTGGGAAACATACAATAGCAACCCATCATACATAAATTATATCATAATGTTTTATATACTGTAAATTCAGCATTATTATTTTTTCGACAAAGTTATGTTTGTTTCCCATCTAGATGCTACATCTTTTGAAGATGTAAGTCCACAAGGAATTAGTGATGATTCAAGTACAGGATCGAGAATTCATGGTAAGACTTCTTTAAAGAAGCATAGAACAGTCAACCTATGATGCAAGGTCTAGTGAATATTACCTGTAAACAGAAGACTTTAAGCATTGTAGATGTGTGTGTTCTTATTTCCATCTCTCTCACACACAGTTTCTCTCTCCAACTCCATCCCTGTTGCATCTCATCTAATTGTATGAGATTTCCCCCTTTTTTCCACTCACATTTTTCTCTGAACAAAACGAGCTGTTGTGTATGAAGTACACTTGAACAGCATCCAGATTGTTCTCCCCACACCACTGCATCAATCTTGAGTGAATTAGAGCAAGTCAGAAATTTTACCCTAAGAAAGCTGAGCTAAATCTAGCACTAACCCTATTTAGATTACACCCATTGAAATTAGTGCAAATTGTTTAGCTATGCTTATAGTTTTGTTTCATTCCATTAGATTTACTGTAGATTAACAATGGGTTTAGTACATTTTTTGAAAAAAAATCAGTCTTGTAAATTAAGTTTTTTTTACTGTATCAAATTTTAGCACAGTTATAAAAACAAGGCTAAAATGAGTTACAATTAAATAACACCTATGTAAATCAGCAAAACCCAGTGTTTTACTGTACCACGTATTAACCCTGCCCCTGAACCTGTATTGATAGGAATACAGAATATTAACTGTGGAGACGCCTTTGCTCCTCCTTTTCGTTGCATTTCTGTAGCATGCAGAGTTCCATATCAAATCTGTCATAGGCGGTTTCATCACATCTGATTCTTTGCATGCTAGCATGCCATTCCATTCCAGAATCCTGGTTCTTCCTGTTATGTATTGGGTTTCAGTTCTAAACATTCTGTTCCATTCCTTCATTTTTGTATATGCCTTGCTCCTATGATTTCCTTTTCTAAATTATCCTCTTGAGCTACCTGGAAACATCATCTTTTTCTCACCTATAAGAAGCCATAATTTGACGTGGCATGTTCAGCTTGTGCAGTACCAGCATGCATTATTACTTGCCTTAGAGCAGACTGTATCAGGCACAGGGTCATCAGCTATGGTATGTGCTTCATGCTGTTTACTGATTTCTTTCATTCAGCTTCCAGACCAGCCAGCCTTGATAGTGGCAGAACATCCACTAGCAATAGCAATAATAATGCCTCACTCCATGAAGTCAAAGGTATGCTTCTAGGCAAACTGACACATGCTTCATTCTCCCATTTTTTTGGTGGGGAGGGGAAAAATTGTGGCATGTTTTCCCCTTTGATAACTTTTTATCTTTCTTTCTTCTTTAATGAAGCTATCAAATAAAGAGGGCTATATGTTTGAATAAATCCATTAGAAAAAAGAAGTAAAAACTAAACACTACAGGTCACTTATACCTAATGTATGTGCTGATCAATCCAATCCTAAGGCCTTCAGATCTCGCTTGCAGATGTCCTTGTATCGCAGCTGTGGTCTCCCTCTGGGGCAATTTCCCTGCAGTAATCAGTAAAAAATACTTCCAAATCATTTAAAACCTCTAAACAAATATATTGTTAGATATAAAATTAAAAATGTGGTCATAACATTTGTTTTTGGATGAGATAACATTATTGACATCAGACACAGAAGACTTTCCTACCAGCATTGCATCACTCTTTGCAGTGTGCATATTTAGCAATAACAGTACTTAATCTCTAGATACATTGCTCCTTGGTTTCGTCCTGTGTAAGATTTGGATACTGATTGCATCTCTCCTATTGTAATTAGTACAGATTTGTTTTTAACAATAAAATAGAAATAAATGTAATAATAAAAATGTAGTAAAGCACAGAAACGGCATGAACTAGATAAACTGTACATCTCTAAGCAAGTTAAGAATATACAGTAATACGTTTTTGCCAGAGATATATTCCTTCCATATAAGTAGAATCAAGAGGATACATTATGATCATAATTCAGCAGTGTGTTTAAGCAGCAAAGGCTGGTCAAAATAGAGACTTCCTTTCAGAATCAAGTTGGAGCGCTACATGGTACCAATGCACCTGCTCCAGATGGTTTCTCAGACCTCTTGCCAGGTTTTTAGTATGTCTTGAGAGCTGTAGGAGATAGAGAATTGGTTGATCTTGCTAGAGATAATGGGATCCAATTAAATATACAACATTGACATTTGGTTGGAGATATCAGTGTTTTCTGGTCCTAGGCCTTCAGACATACCAACAAGGATGTTCTGCCATGTCTTCTGTTGCAAACAAAGTTATGTGAAAGGCAAGACCAAATATAGCCAGTTACTATTGCCTTGTTCAATTGTTTTTCATTTGGTTATTTTCTTGTATGATATCTTCTTAGTTGACCATAAGAAAGTATTCATCATTTTCCAGTGCAAATGAATCCTTTGCAAAAATTTATGCTATGGAATACATGTGGTGTTGCTGTACAGTATTGATACTAAATCAATAGTATAGTATGCACTTCTTGTTTTTTATTAAATGTAATTCAGTATAACAAAGAAGGTACATTTCTTCAAACATCACTTTGAATAGAACGTGATGTTTCTCCTCCAGTTCATACTCATGAGAAACTAAAAAGAGGCATTAGGTCAGAAATCTTTTAAAGGAATCTTTCTACCAAAAGTATTTATTAATTGGCCTGAAAACATATTAATATTCCATCTTTTAATTTTGTCCTATATCATAATAATAACTCTCAACATGTTCTTCATTCCTGAATTTGAGCTAGTGTCATGGAGACATCTGTATATACCTAATGTCCTAGAAACTAATGGCTAACAGAAATGATTAAAATGTGAAATTGGGGGATGGGGAATGGAGTAAAAAGATGAAATGGTACATTAATGAGCCATAAGAGGTAAGACAAGAAATGTATCTGTATTTTTCATATGCCTTCCCAGTAGGTGTTTGAGCATCTTACTTCTGTTGTCTCTTTGGTATATTGAAGTGTCTATTAGTGCAGTAGAATGCACTAGATAAATTGTATGTAAGTTATCTTATCAAACATAATGAAGTTGTCGATACTGTTTATTCTCAAAGCAGGTGCAGTTAATAACCAAAGTAGGCCTCAGAGCCACAGCAGTGGAGAATTTAGTCTTCTTCATGATCACGAAGCATGGTCCAGCAGCAGCAGCAGCCCCATCCAATATCTGAAAAGTCACACCAGGTCTAGCCCTGTACTCCATCACAAAATATCAGAAACAGTGGATAAACAAGGAACATGCAGAATTAAGACTGACTCCCCTGGAAGTGAGGTGGTAACACTACAACAGTTTTTGGAAGAAAGTAATAAAGTTACTTCAGCTGAGGTACGTTGAAACATAACTTTGGAGGCCAGAACATAAAGTTGAACTAATTTAGATTACAAGGTACTGTGATTTTGTGCCCAATGGAGGAGACTTCTTACATTTTTTAAATATTAAAATCAAGACTCAGACTTTAAATATTTGTTTGTTTGTTTGTTTCTATGCCACCTTTCTCCCCAAAAGAAAGAACCCCATGTGGTTTTCCTATAGAAAAAGTTTGTTTAGCAATTCTATAAAGGATATATAGCTTGCATTAACTAACTGTAAATAGAAAAGTTTTAATCTCTGGGTTTTTCTTCATTTACTTTGAACAGCTTTGATGTGTGTGTTCATTACATGCTTTGTGCAGAGATCCTGGTTTTCTGTTGAGGTAGAACTGGAACAGCGTCCTATCTCCATGTTAAGTTGAATCATAGTGAAATATTGTGTACTGTTCTCAGAACTGTCTGGTTTAGTCTTCACTATCTTTTCTCCTCACCACTCTTTTTCACAACCCTATAATCTTATTGAATAATTTCCTGTTGTAATTTCCAACAAAGTTGGAACCTCTCTAGCTGCTTCTGTTTTTATATATCAAGGAAATCAATGGGTGTGGATACATGCCAGTACCAAGTTATATTAAAATATCCTATCTCAGAAATGTATGTCGTTTGCACTTAAATACATGTCTACTATCTTGTAACAGACTTCCCTTATACCTTGTTATTGAAAATAGAGGAGAGTTGTTAGCCAATGTTCAGCTTAAAATAAATGTTATCTTATTTTTTTAACTGCAGAGACGTATATCCATATGTTAGTAGAATATGCTGAGTACTTTGTGAAATAATTAAGTGATTTCTGTCTTTGTCTTAAAATCAGAATGTAAGATTCCTGTTTGCCTACTTTCATACAAAATAGCCTTATGAAACCAGAGAGATAATCACGGCAGGTTGGAAATGGTTTATTGCCATATGCTGTTCTTGCTTTTTGAAGCAAAAAAATTCCCAAGTTTACTATAGGTAATGGGATAATGTTCTGGGTGGTATCAGTTTTGGAGGCTTTAGCAAATGCCCCAGTTCTTCTGAATTAAGATTTACATCTGTATGTATGCTCAAATTAATAGCTCTTAACAAGCCTTTAAAAAAGGAAAGGCAGTCTTTTTTGTGACTTGGATTTTTTCCAGAGACTCCCAACTGAGAATTCCAAATCCGGAAGCTCACACAATGATTTCATGCTTATGCTGCCTTGTACATAATGTTCAGATTTCTAAGGAAATTTTTAATTAGGTAATGAGAACAATGTGGGGCAGATCTCAAAGTGAAATGACCATCATTGGTTGAGCTTTGTGGCCTTGGAGAAGAAATATTACTTGCGTCAATTCACTGAAATCAAATTGTCAAGGTAGGAACATTTATTTTCAGTTAATATATAGGACTGTATATTTCTATGAACACATAAATTTGATGAGTTAAAAATGCATCACATATATTAAACTGCTAGTTCTGGGTAGTATTATAAATATTAACCATTTCCACAACTTAAAACATGCATTAATAGTTTTCCCTGACTTTGCTGTAAAAATAATGAAAATGTTTTACCTTATATTACATTTTGATATATTTTGCAGATCAGGTCCTCAGGCCAAGACAATCTATTAGAGGAAGTAATGAAAATTTTCTCTGAAAATGCTGAATTAGCAGGAAGAGAGAAACTAAGAAAACAATCATCAGGGAGCACTAGTATTGCCAGATCACAGAGTGTGAAAGCCACAATGGAGTTCTCTGATGGAAAGTTGACTAAACAAGAGCACCTTCGAAGGCCTAGTTCACAAAGAGTGGAAGACTCCAACTTCTCAAACTCTTCAAAAACACTTATAGCAGGCACTAAAGGAAGGGCCAAGTCTGTTAAAGAAAGTATGCAGTCCCAACGACAATCAAAAGATTGTAATCCTTATGCTACTTTACCTCGTGCAAGCAGTGTGATCTCAACAGCAGAAGGAACTACTCGGAGAACAAGCATCCATGATTTTTTATCTAAGGACACTAGGCAGCCTGTGTCAATTGACCCAGCACCATCTACAGCTGACAGAAGTGTTGCATCAGCTTCTAGTGAGTACAGACCTCAACAACAGTACTCTGTTTCTAATTACATACCTTATGCTACAGTTACTTTGTCAGAAAATGATTTGAGTACTATGAATTCACTAAGTGAGTCTTCATGTAAATCAGAGAAGTTTAGGAATTCAAAGACAGGTGGGACAAATTTTGTTGCTACAGGATTTTCTTGTAATAATATGTACAGTGTTAAGGAAGACACATCAACAACTATTATCAGGAAAGTATCTGCAGTCCATTTGTCCAGGCCATTTTTGGCACTTAATACTGAGTTGGTCAGCAATGTTAGTGGGTTGCCCCAAAGGCATTTATTAAAAACAACCGATAAGACCTTTAGCAAGCTGTCTTCTGAAGATGAGAAATCCACTGATGGAAAAATAGAGGTGGCTCAGAAAACTAGTGAATTTATTAGTCTTGTCCATGCAAACACTAATGAGAGTGAATCTTCCCTATTTGATTCTGAAGATACTCAAACTATTTGGTATGAATATGGTTGTGTATGATCAATGCATATAATTTTAAGTAATCTCTCCTATACAATATGGATGTTCTTGTTAATGTTGACTAGGCTACAGCTGTGTAGATTTGTGGTTTTGGACAACTGACATTTCCAGGGAATTCTGGGACTTATAGTCAAAAACCAAACATCTGTACAGCTCTTCTTTAGGTCATATTAAGTCATTACTAGCTACAATAGTAATTAAGTATACATGTTTTTCATGTACCTTTTTTCCTTAGCATGTTGAATATAAAATTGTAACCATGCCAAAGCTTGCATGAACCATTAACTACACTGTATTTTATGCATGCCTTTTGAAAGTCTTAATTCAAGCTAACTGTCTGTATTTTTATTTTCTATTTGTTACACACATTTTATTTTATGTACATTGCTGGATGCATGCTAACCAGTTGCATGGTGTTGTGCAAGAAACAGCACAAAAAAACAGGTAACTTTCAGTAACCGTAACCTTTTCAGTTTCTCTTCCTTTCAGGTATCCCAGCATCATTATTCATATTAGGCCTAATCCATCTAAAGTCAGTTGTGATCTTATTAAAACAAACAATGCAACTCAGATGTAAATAATTAACAAATCTAATGTGAGATGGATGTTAACAGGCAAGCGGTCACCAGTTCCTTGCTTGGGACTTTCTTCCAAATAAGATTAGGATTGCCTTTAAGAGCCTAAAAAAACCCACAACAACCATTAGATCCCGGCCATGAAAGCCTTCGCAAATAAATTGCCTTGAAGCTTTACTGATGAACTTTAGCTGGATTGAGGCCTTTGAGTAAAAATGTCTTTTACCCCTTTTGCTAGTGGAAAAGTACAGCAAGGATGCTGCATTTCTTCTTGCTGTTTATTTATGATGTGCCTAAATTCTATCCCAGAAATATCATAGCTAAATTATTCAAAATAAACTATAGTTTTCACCCTAAATATGGATGATTGTTCATATACATAAGGCATTGTGGTTCAGAAGCCTAAATGGTAGTTCTTTTAGAGCTATAAAAATATAGTCCCAAATGTAATACTGTAGCTGTATTAGAACAGCCAACCTTCTTCATCTCTTTCCCCTTTTTGTGCTTTCCCAACCCATGGTTGATGTATGTTCATGATCATGTATTGTCTTGTCTATAGTTCATTATCCAGATTTCAATACATAACTTTATTTGAATTTTTACAGTTCATTAAAATAAAAACTAAAACAGAATGGTAGTATTCCTTTTTTCTGTTCTGTGTTATGATAATTTGTTAGGAACAATGCACAAAAATTTTGTTTTAATTGAGCCCAAATCCAGAGAGTTAGCTTATACCCAGGACTGGGGTATAAACTGTTTGCATTGTACAGAGGAATACTGTGATAGATTACCAGCTGTCCTTGAAATTTCCCTTAAGATAGTAAAGAAATGGGGCAGGACCAGTGGGCTGTCTGGGTATATTTCTGCCTGAAAACCTGAAGAGCTGCTGCGTGTCACTATAGACAGTACCAGGCGAAAAGATCTGACCAATATAAAGCAGCTTCCTATGTTGGTCTCCTAATCAGAAAACAGAATCTTAGAAATGAGAGCTTTTAAGAAGTATAAAACCATGCATCTAGATTAACTGTCTTAGTCATCTGAAAGTTTTCTTTAAAATCAGGATAATTTGTGTCAGATGCTTGAACAGTAAGTAAAATTTTAAGTCAAAAAAAGTTTAGGACATACAAACACAGAGGTGAAAGTATTTCCGGAAGCATTCCTAGTTAGAAATA